ACTGGAACAGGAAGGCTACAAGGGAAAATCCAACAGAGGCAGACATTGGTTTCTTGTCACCTGGGCAAGGGACAACCAGTTGGCGGCAGTTACACACGAGGGCAAGATGGTGCTCTCCCCTTGGCTCGCTGCTGAGAAGTAGTACCTTCGGAGACTTCTTATCCCCCCTCTTATCCCGCCTCCACTCTGAACACGCACCTCTGCTACCCTACCATCATTTCCCTTCCTCTATCTACTTTCTGTTTTATTTTTATGAAGAAAACCAAGGCACTCGGTTCCAGTCGGTAGCCACGGTAGGCTAACAATGGGTTGGGTAGGGAGGAGAGTGTCCAGGCATTAGTGAAGGAATGAGTCAGGTTCCCCTCGGCCGTTATAGTCCGAGGTCAGGCCATTTTAGGCCTCAGTAGTAACCCCCATTTTGGTAGGAGCTTTAGCGGCTCGTCTTAGCTCAGTAGTGGTATGGAAGCCCTCCCCACGCGGGACTGGGCACCTGCTATTTTTTTCGATGTGGAACGAATGCCCTAGGCAGCCTTGTCTGACCTGGATCATACGATGGCAACAGTACCTATGTTACTAAAGCGAACTGGGGTAATGCTCACTGACAAACTCTGAAGCCTATAGCTGGGTAATGGCCCGAGCACTTTCTCCCATGTACCGGGTTGATTTGTGGGGTGTATTCCCGAAATGCAGTGAACGCTATCTATGGAATAAAAAGCAAAAAGATAAATGGAAAAAAAAAAAAAAAAAAAAAAAAAAAAAAAAAAAAAAAAAAAAAAAAAAAAAAAAAAAAAAAAAAAAAAAGGAAAAAAACAGAAGAAAAAAAAAGAAATGGCCGGTTTCTAGAGTAGTGGAGCGAGACCCTATGATCCATCGGTTTACGACTCCCGGGGGGGAGGCGGGAGGCTGGAGGGGGGCGGGCTGTGTGGATTGAAAGAGAGTGGCATGGATGCAAGGGGTGTAGCGCGCGTATGGGCGTGGGAAGAGTTGCTGTCCAACAGGGGTATCACGACGCCCCTGGCTATGGCTGGCCTTGGTCGGTGGGAGCCGGCAATCCTCGTTAGGTCGCGAAGGGAAAGAGTTGCATGTGTGGCTGACTGCGAGGCAGGGTTTGCTAGCCGGACATACCATAAACGAAGCCTGATCAGGGGCTTTGGCCCCCTGGTCTCAGATACGTAGTTTGGCTGGAGTCAGCGGGATGCTGCTTTCCTCGGAAAAACGATTCTCGTTGAGAGTCTGCAATGGAGCTGAAGCCGCGGGGCGACTCTGGTCTTAGTCCCCCTCGCTATTGCTGGGTTTGTGTTGTACCGTGGTGAGATGAACGTGGGAGTGTCGCTTTGCGAAGACCCTGTCATGGTGGGCGGCAGGGTTTTTAGGGGGTTGATGCTGACTGGGGGAGCAGTTTGCCCTAAATCGAGAGGAGGTGGGTGGGTTTGCAGGGTCCTTTGATCCTTGCCGTGCGGGTGGTAGAACACTTCTGCACGTTGGTTTCCTTGTGTGTGCTTGGAGTTTTCTTCTATCATCCTTTTCTTGTGGGATTGGGGAGCGTTGTTCCGTACAATTTTCATCATGGAGGGCGGTGAAGACCTCATTGGGGAGTGCATGCGGACGGGGGTGCGGATTACCCTAAATCGCGAGGAGGTGGGTGGGCTTTGCGGGGCCTTTGGCCTCTGCTGCGTGGAAGGTAGGGCTTTTCGCAGGGTTTGCTGAAACACCATCATGGAGGGAGTTGGTGTTTTAGGGTAGGTAATGTAGGGTTTGGAGTGATCTGCTTTGAATCGCGAGGAGGTGGGTGGGTTTGCGGGGTCTGTGCTTACAGATCCCTGCGGCGTGGGCCGCAGAGTGGATCTGCAGGGTTGGGCTATTTTCAAGGGTGATAGGCTTTGTTTTTGCAGGTTCTGTTTTGTTTTTTCTTCTTTTTTTTTTCAGGGTAATTTGCATAGTGCACAAGTAGGATTGCATAGTGCATAATTATGCATAATTATACCTTTCTCGGCCTTTTGGCTAAGGTCAAGTGTAGTATCTGTTCTGATCAGTTTTGAAAAAAAAAAAAAAAAAAAAAAAAAAAAAGTGCATAATTAGGATTTCATCTTTTTTTTTTTTTGATTTCGTCATTTATTTATTTATTTATTTATTTTTGATTTCGTCATTTTCGTATGGTCAGATGAGACTGTTTACCCCGTGGCCTTCTCTATGATGTAAGGTATGCCGGACCCGTTTTCTGGCTTGTATAATTCAAAAGAAGCCGTCGTATGAACCAGGCCGGAGTGCCTGGATCATACGACATCTGGCTGCCTTGAAAAAAAAAAAAAAAAAAAAAAAAAAACTGCTTGATTCTGTTCATCTTTCTAAAAAAAAAAAAAAAAAAAAAAAACACCGCCATGAATTTTGTCGTTTCTGCATGGAGCGAAACCCTCCGTCGCCGTCGCAGGTCACGGCGCAGCGTTACGGCCTGCGAATTTTCTTCGACAGGAAAAGAGATTCCCCCGTCGTCCACGGCAGCACCCAAAAGCGCTCCAGATGGCACGACCTGATTTTGTTTAGATTGATAGTGATATTCGTAGTTGTTCCCCCCGCCGGGGGTGGAACACCTCTGCGCCGAGTCTGCGGTGAAGCGTGCAGGGCGTCAGTGCCCGCTCGCTCGTCCTTTCCGACGGCGGCTGGTGGACAATCTGAGGACTACCGGTAAAAGTGACACTGATCAGGCCATTGGCTGAAATGCAGGGGCATTTCGCTTCCCTGTTTCGGCAGACTGCAGCCGATGTCGGGGTCTGATTCGTTTGGCAGGGTTTTTGCAGTACCCCAGGCCTCAGTTTGTGTTGCATATGGCTATCGCAGCGGACCTCACCGCCGCGCGTCTGCGGAGGTCGCATGACAGGGATGTCCGCAGGTACCATCTCATGCACGGGTAAGTCTCTCTCTCTCTCTCTCTCTCTCTCTCTCTCTCTCTCTCTCTCTCTCTGTGGTCTTGTGTCATCCCAGTTAGTACGAACCTTGCTAGTGTCACATTTAAATTCGCGCTAGCTGAGCACGGGCACGGCACCAACAGAGCACCCTTCCCTTCCAGCCTCCCTCCCTCTCTCTCTCTCTCTCTCTCTCTCTCTCTCTCTCTCTCTCTCTCTCTCTCTNTCTCTCTCTCTCTCTCTCTCTCTCTCTCTCTCTCTCTCTCTCTCTCTCTCTCTCTCTCTCTCTCTCTCTCTCTCTCTCTCTCTGTGTCTTCTTCTCTGTCTTCTCTCTGTTTTCACCGTTTTCTCTCTTCTCTCACTTCCCTCTTTTCTCTGTGTCTTTCTCCTCCCCGCCGTTCTCTCCGTCTCTCCCCCATCTCTCTCTCCCTTTCTCTCTTTCTCTGCTCTCACTCTCTGCATTCCTCCTCTCTCTCTCTTTTCTCACCCTCTTGATTCTTCTCTTTCCCTTCTCATCGCTTGATTCTTTCCTCCAATCCCTGCGCATGGTGCTAACCTGACGGCTGACCAGAACACGCTCATGCAACATCGCGGTCCTCGGTGTTGTCGAGGGGTTTCCGTTTCACCTTCTGAAAACGAAAGCAGGGGGCGGACGAGGCAAAGTGCAGAGAGCGAGAGCAGTAGAGCAGTAGAGGAGGAGGAGGAGTGGAGGAGTGGAGGAGAGGACCCGACACCTCGAACCCCCATCCTCCCTTGCTTATCCGCTCACACCTTTATCCCTCCACCACCTCCTCCTCCTCCTCCTCCTCCTCCTCCTTCTCCTCTTCCCCCTCCTCCTCCTCCTACTCCTCTTCCCCCTCCTCCTCCTCCCCCTCCCATCCTCCTACCAATCCGATCCGTAGTTCTTCCCGTTCACCCATTCATTTATGTTTATATTTATACTTGTGTTTTAAATTATTGCTACAAAAGATCGAAAATCGGACACAAGCAACGAAATCGTCACAGGAGAAAAGAAAGCAATATAACTTCATCGGCTGCGAGATCAATTAAGCTGTCCCCTCTCTCTCTCTCTCTCTCTCTCTCTCTCTCTCTCTCTCTCTCTCTCTCTCTCTCTCTCTCATCCTCTCCCCCTCCGCCCCCTCCCCTTCCCCCTCCTCTCCCCCCCCTCTCCCCCCTCCTCCTTTTCGACCTATCAGATTTTATCATACGAGGTAGCATATTGGTTGTCGCTGTTCCATTGGTGCGCAGGCCTATTCGTGCGCGCATTCATTGACGAAGAAGAAGAAGAAGAAGAAGAAGAAGAAGAAGAAGAAGAAGAGGAGGAGGAAGAGGAGGAGGAGGAGGAGGAGGAAGAAGAAGAAGAAGAAGAAGAAGAAGAAGAAGAAGAAGAAGAAGAAGCCATCATCGCGAGAGCTCTGCTAGTGGTCGAAGTCCATGTGTCGTTTCCTCCGCTCACTGTTTCCCGTCTCCAATCCACAGGTTAACATCTGCAAGCAGGAGGTTCCAAAATGGAAGATGAAAAAGAGGGAAGGGGAAGGGAAATCGTTGCTACTCGTTGCTACTAGAGGCCGCCCGTGCCTTGAGTTGTGCGACTGGCTGTTTTTGATGTTCGCTTCGTAAGAAGGCACTCTTCAAAACGTTCTTCGAGCGGAAACGGAAACGGCAACGGAAACGAAACTGAACGCAACGGATCGAAACTGAACGTAACGGATTGAAACGGAATGAAACGGAACGCAAAGGAACGAGGGCGAAAAGGGGCGAAACGTAACAGATTGTTTGTTGTTAACTTCTAATCATTGATGTTCTCTGTGTCTGTCTCTGTCTCTGTCTGTGCGCACTGAGCAGAACGGAGAGCCGGTTCCTGAACCAATCCAACTAACCAATCAACCAATCAAAACCAATCAAACAAATCAAACCAATCGATCGATCGGTCAATCAATCAGTAAGTCGATCGGCTGATCTTTTAGTGGAGCAATCAGTGCATTATTACTGTACTACTTTCGTTAATCACTCAATCGACTCTCCATTACTCGATCAAGAAGGTGGCTTCTTGATGGGGATAGAGTCTTTATCGTTGGCGTCGTTGGCGGTTAGTGCGAGGTGGTCCCCCACCACGACCAGCGCCCCTCCCTCGCACACTTGTCCCTCCTCGTGCCGTCAGTCGTCCTTCGCGGGTATCGGCTTTCGTCTAGATTCTCATAATATTAATAGTAATAATAATAATATTAATTCTAATAATAAAACTAATAATACCAATTGTAAGAGCAGTACAACCTCGTCATTTATGATGGCGTCAACAACCGCTGACGTCATCATTGCGAATGCGGCGGCGGCCTATGGGGGGGGGGGGGGGGGGGGGGGGGGGGGAAGGCGGGGGGGGGGGGGGGGGGCAGCGACGCGATTGGCGCATGCATCTGCCGCCGCCGCCGCCGTTTCTTGCGGCAGGCAAAAGCCGGCGGCGGGAAAAGAGGGAAGGGGAGGAGGGGGAGGGGGGCTGAAGCGGGGGAAAGTAGGCGGAGCGAACTGCACGGCGGGGGCCGCCGGGGGGGGGGAACTGCCATGGAGGAGGGCGATGATGATGACGGTGATGACACGTGTCCCGACGGCGACGAGGAGAGGTTATCTTAATGAGAGTGGTCATGCGAGTGGCAGAGAACGAGGGAGCCTTCTATCTTCTTTCTGCTGGTCGGTTAGTTCCGCCTCGATTGATGGGCTTCGCGGAGAGAGACACGTGTCCTCTTCCGCTTCAGGAACGCATTGCCCGAGGTGGGAGGGAGGACGCTACTTTGTCCAACGACGACGACCGGGGCGAGGAGGAGGAGGAAGAGGGAGGCGGCCGGGTGGCGCTGCTATCCGACGTGGCAGTGGCAATCCCGATCCCAATCCTCATACGGTTGGCGGCCTGTCCGTTCGAGGCTACATTGAGCGGGAAAAAGGATTCGGCGACCTGGTCAATCGAGCAAGAGGTGCCCTCCCTGTGATTGGTCTGCTATCGAGGATCTTAACGGCTGAAGGAGGAGTGGGAGCTGATCAGCTGCGCTTCCCTGAGTTCGCTACGAGGGTGTCTGCCAATTCATCGTGGAAATTGACGCAGGCGTTGTACGATTTGAGAACAATCCACGGAGAGGTAAGAAAAGATTTGGGAATGGCTGGCTTTTTTTTTTTTGTTTTTTTGGCTCCTTTTTTTTTTTTAATTCACGGAG